TGTTTATATTAGTCATGATTGTCAATGCCATTATGTGTTTTATCAGTCTCATTGTAAGAAGCTATTTCACTGATCAATCAACTGGACCATCTTGCTTGACAGGAATGAGAGCACAATGTAACCAAAAATATGTTAGATCATGGGGGAGGTAACTTGAACATAATTATGACTCAAAAAGTGTACTTGATGTTTAAGTGAAACATCTTAAATACTGAATAAATGTCTGTTTTGAACTAGTGCCATGCGGCATTGGAGTTGTGTAAATTGTAAATAGTTAACAGGGGTAATTTAATAATCATTTACTCACTTACTCAGTACAGTTCTGTAGCTCTGTAGCTCTGTAGCTCAGTAGCTCAGTAGCTCCATTTCCAATTCCTTTGTTATGAATGTCATTCTATACTGATGAACGGATTATATTCACCTAATGTTTGAGTATAACAGGAACTCTCTATGTCAGAGACAGAGAAACTAACACAATGTCAAACTGATAAAGGTATAAAATAATAATTGCATTTTGATGAAAAAAGTTCATTTAAAACTGATAATCATGAAAAAGACCAATAGCACCCACTGGTCATTTGACTCTGGATTGTTCCATCATCTACTTTGTAAACAGACCCATGAAGATCCGGGGTAGAATAGGTCTTCAGCAACCCATGCTTGCCGTAAAAGGCGACTAACGGGATCGGGTGGTCAGCCTTGCTGACTGTTGATGCATGTCATCGATCCCAATTGCGTGGATCGATGATCATGACATCAATCACTGGATTGTCTGGTCCAGACTCGATTATTTACAGACCACTGTCATATAGCTGGAATATTGCTGAGGGCGGCATTAAACAACAAACCAACCAACCAACTCTGTAAACATGTGACACAAAGACCATGCTATGTTTACATCCTTTATCATGTTTATAATTCATTACAAATCCCATGAACAAGTAAACTGTTAGCTGTAGACATAGATCAGACAAGGTATTTATTTGTTGTTATTTTTGTTATTTATAAACCAAAATCAATGTCAATTTTCTTTCAATTTTGATGATATTAAACCATCATGACATAAAATTGCTAGTCAGTCTAGTTTTGATAAATAAACTGACTCGTTTCAATATCAGTTCTAGGCTAGAACCTAAATTTACTTGTAAGGTTATGAACAATATGATAATTTTATGGTCCGATGGTGACTGAACTATCATTGGCGATTTTCACCTTCAAAATCAGTGACTTATTTGGGAGCAAATGTATTATAATTCATGTAAATTTCAGGAAAATCAACGAATTCATCCATCTGTCACTTCATCATTCATTACCATGCATAGTGCCAATGCGAAGTAAGTGTGCAATGAATCTTACCTTTCATGAATAAAATATCAGTACTGAACTTCAAAAATCCAAACGCAGTCGGAAAATTAAATGCACTCAATATTTTATGCAGAATTCAACTGAAAGCTCCCGAAATCAACGACAACGAAGTGGTGCCGCAGTTCAATGTGCACTACAATCGATGACGTCACCAATTGTTGTCATTCGACATTTTCTAAACTCCATCGTTGAAGAGCGATGCTATTTCCCAACAACACATTTTGTTATTTCCAAATTTAGAGCCCGTAATAGCACTCAAGCGGCTGTGTTTTCAGAATGTTTAAGACACCGAGACGCCTTTTAGTGGCCTCGTCCGTTGAAAGGAAACAAAAGAAAATATGCATATCATCTCATGTGTATCGCTTGATTTGGGGACAATCATTGTTAATTGTTTTTTGAAAAATGTAACGTTTTTGTTATTTAAAATTATCTCCAAACAATATCCTGAAATGCAAATTGTGTACACATTAGGAGACATAAACCATCCAGAGAATAAACCCTGGAATAGTAAGGCATAGGAATACAGTACCTGTACAGGGTGAATAACTCCTTTTTTCGTGTGAAAAAATAAAATAATATTTCAACAAAATACTTTCGTGGCCGAGTTATACAGTGTAGAGACAATATGATAGATTATATGGTCTCTGTACAGTCTAACAAAACGACCCTATGTCTGAACGTGACGAGTCACACGTGGGTGAAATTAACCTAAAGATGTCGACGACAGTCAGATAATGACGACCGGGGATACTGAAGAATTCATCAGTTTCAGTAATACAGAATCTTATATTTGGGGTTTTATTTCCACAGTAAATAGAGTTAGCTTGGCCATTATACTTGAAGCTATGCTATAAATTTGGTCAAGTTTCAGATGTTTGCAAAACAATTCTGAGAAGCACACCGTTGTCCTTATAGTTAAAGTAACACTTTGATAGTGTTTGATTCAAACCATTCTCCATTAACTGTCCTTCATAGCGGATTAAACCATGACATAGTTAATTTATTTTTTAATAACATGGTAAATATTACATATAGTATGTAGGAATGTTTATATTTTGCCTCAAAATAAACGATTAAGTAGGATAATGGATTCACAGAGAAATGTATTTCAACACCCTGATAAAAAAAGATGTTGAATCAAAAACAAAACTATTGTTATTCAAATAATACCAAGTGTCATAATATGTTTACAACGTCGTGTCTGTTACGGCTAGAAATCCGTCTGTCTCCCTGACCCAAGGGGGGGGGGGGGGGATATTATTAATGAATCCAGCTCAAGTGTTGATTACCTCAGCTCCTGAAATAAGCATTGCACTGGACTCCATTTAGATTTTTTTATTTTGTAGATATATATTAAAAAATAAGATTATTTTATTTCTATTTTTCAGGAACTAAATATTAGTCGAGAGATCGCGTACCCGTGTCAGAGCCAGCCCAGCTATTTAGACGAGTCTACTTTAATGTAGGGGGACACACGTATCATAACGTCTTGTTTTCTCAATAGACAGGTAGGGGCGTGTCTATTTTAGGAAGGGGTCAGAGTGAGGGTCGACTTGATGTCGCCACAATACCAATACAATATTCATTTTCAATCTAATATCTTACCACAGCATTAAAGTGAATTCAAACGGTAAATTCAATATTGTGAAAACCTAGACACGTGTCATTGAACCACGGTCATCAAAGGTAAATTCATTGTTTTTCTTTTTTCTTCTCTCCCCCACAAAACACTTACGATTTTAGATGTCGAAGCGTTCGCAACAGCTGACACTCAGTGATTCTTTTACGCGCGCTTCATGTTCGTCAAGGAACAAATCAACATAATTTTCTTATAACACTTTTAGTGTTTAAAAACTAATTTTGGGGTTGCCTTTTAATTTAATTTTCATTTAAATTATTCTTCAGAGTAAATTAATTAAAACATCTGAAAATCAAGGGATTTTTAAATCAAATCCAGTTTTTATATTTCTAACTTCAGTTAATTTAAATGGAAGTATCTATCGTAGGTAACTTCATTTTTAGTATTATTTCAAGGTTGTTCAATTTGCACAAACTAATGTGAAAACAGTGATTTAAAACTGAAGTATTAGTGTAATAGATATGACGACTGTCACATAAAAGTCATACATTCAGACCATTATCAAGCATGAATGCGAAAGACCGCGCACGGTATTGTGCCGAGAAACCTAGAAACATATTGGGGCGAACTTGTTTCTGGCGCGCCCAAGGGACACAACTCCGCACAGCGAATTGCGGCGCCTTTTAAACAGGCATCGCCTACACTTATAGGACAGACTTGACAGCATTCTCACACGGGCTCCGTTATCGTGATGCGGTTTTGAGGCCAGTCGTGGTAACCTTTGTGCTAAGGTATGGTCGTCAGTTTGCCCACTGAGATACCACTCTGCAGTTTAACATGGATACCCAACTCAGACACAGTATACTGACTCCGAGCCGACCAGTCCTTGTTGCAACCCCTTAATTCCTAGCGTCAGGCAAGGTAACAACAAGAACATTCGACGCAACCGGGGATTGAACCACCGACCTTCCGCTCGCCGGGCCCTATCACTAGACCACGGAGGCGGTCGTATGCAAGTAGGGAATTCCACTAACGTGTCAAGGTCACGAGCTACTTTTGTCCTTCCAGCCTCTTGGCGTTGTTCGCTGGCTTCCTTTAGCGAATGGTTACCAGTCTGCAATTAACTGAGCAGCGCTTCTGCAAATTAGCCTCGTATTCTGCATCTTAGCGCTTTATGCCAAGGACGTTGCTTTTTCTTTGATCCGGAGGTAATGTTTTAATTTTGGGATATTGTTATAAGCAGACAGTCACTAAAGATGAGTGAGTGAGTGAGTTGGGTTTAACGCCGCTTTTAACAGTATTCCAGTTATATCACGGCGTGTCAGCTAAATGTGGGAGGAAAGCCCGAAGTGATGCAGCTCTCAGACGTTTACCACTTCGGTGAAACCCACGAGCACGGGTATGGTGCTGTCAAACGTAGAAACATAATCGGGTCGAACCGGGATTCGAACCCACAATCATAGGTTTCTGGCATGCCCAAGTTCTTCGGATTCTGGTGCTACCAAGGGACGATTCCGGCGCTTTAGACGACCGCGCCTTGGTTAACAGTAAATGCATGTGCGATCGTGTCAGCTCTGTGACGGACGGGGAAACTTAGTGCTATCTTGCTGATCCGTCAATGCCGATCGTGTCGCAAAAGTAATTTTGATAAATCTGCCAATGTCTTATTTTACCAAATTTTTTTTATGGAAACCAGGATTCGATTCCGCAAAGTGATTGTAGAGCTGAGATTATCGTATAAAGTCTTTGTATGAGAGTGTCGACAGTAGTAGCACTAAGATCGCTTTGTGTCACTGGACCCAGACCTAACAGAGACCTACGACAGTCATACCGCTAAGATCGCTTTGTGTCACTTGGACCAGAAGTGACGTGAAATGGGACTTAACGCCGCTTTCTGGATTATTGCAGCCTGTGTGTGTGTGTGCGTGCGTGCGTGCGTGCGTGCGTGCGTGCGTGCGTGCGTCTGCTTGTACCAGTCCGGATTAATGCCGGTTTTATAGTGCTAGCACACGGAGACACCATGCCGCAGTTTGACATGAATATCCGACTCAAACAATTAAATAAAATAAACTTTATTTCCCTTAAGGCCATGGCATGACATAGGCAAATACAAAAGTACAAAATGTCTTTGGACATTCCATGAGTGAGGTTGTATGTATAGGGCTCAGACATAGTACACTGATTCCGAGCCGACAAGTCCTTGTTTCACCCTTCAATGTGCAGCGCCAGGCAGGGTAACATCAAGTATACCATCTTTACTTACAGAAAAGACGACACTTCGCAGTCATATGTTTTACCTTGTCATACACTTTTATTCTTTTGGCTTTTTTTGTAATTAAGAATATAAAAAAAAGAGATTTATCAAACATATTTTATAATAACATGTGTGTTAGCAGGAATATAAATAAAAAAGAGGTTTGTTAGTAAAGCTGCAGACATGTCTCTGCATTATCGAACAACGTTATTAAGGGTAAACTATGTTCACTAGCTGGAAAAAAGTCAGATTAGAACATATACTGTCGGGCAAAAGAAATTATACAATTGAATATTTGATATGACCAAAACAATTTACAAAAGTTATGAAAACGTATGTAGGCTGACCACAGTCGCCGAAACACTGCAAAGTTAAGGCCCAAAACACAACTATGATTGATATCCGTTTCAAAAACACCACCAGCGATAACTATTTCTTGTATGTTTCATTTTTAACCACCTTCAAACAGGGGTTCATACTTCTTTTGCCGAACAGTTTACATCGAAGAAATATTTTTCATGGAAACAAAAAATATATTAAAAAATCGAGAAAAACGACTTAAAAATATAGAAATACAAAATACGAAATTTTTTAAGTATAAACTGCTCACTAATACGAATATAAACCTGCGTGTGACCTTTCTTTGTCGCCAGTTGACTGAAGGTTTATTTCAGCAATTATTTGACTACAAGAAGAAGAATCTCTTACAAACGCAAAAGTTTCAGGCACAAAATGTTTAGAATATGACGGTTCGGGATATTTGCGGAATTTGTTGATTAATAGCAAATACAAATACACAAAATTTGGATCAGAAAAATACTGAATCGAGACAATCCTTTATGTATCATGGATGCAAAAAAAAAATGCGAAATTAAAAAGACAACACCACTTTAATTGTAAGCAACAAGAAAACGCAAACAGGCAATAAATATTGACGAATAAAAGCCATGTGTTCAAAGGTCATGTATACAGTAAAACCACGCTAAGACCCCGTTAATCAGTTCGATATGATCCGTATAATCAGTATGGAGTAATGTGTATATGAAGGCGATGCAAAGTTATAATGAGGAATGGTAGCGTTCCGATTAAACGGGGTACACATTAACGAGGTTTCACTGTAAGAAAATCATAGGATTGTTCGAGAATCACTAATGAAGCATAAATACTCAAATATATTGAGTCGTATAACATTGAACCAAACTTGTATGATACTAGTAAAATCAATCAATACAATCTCCATTAAACAAGGGTTCGAATCCCGGTTCGCCCCCATTATGTTTCTAGTTTTGTCAGCACCATAACCTGTTAATGAGCGGTATCACTTCAGGCTTTCCTCCCACATCAAGCTGACATTCCGTGATATAACTGGAATACTGTTCAAAGCAGATAAACCCAACTCATTCACTCATTCACTCACCCCATTAAACAATAACAGAAATATACGCTTTGCTTTAAACAGCCTATATGCACGTAGGCAGGCTCGGAAAGCCATAACAACAGTCTAAAGACATAAATGTATGTAAAATGATGGTTTCCGCTGCACTATGGCAGTAAATTAAGTAGCAATAAAATACTGAACAAATTAGAGTCCGGATTCATTAATCCCACTGGGTTTCAGGGTAACCTTTGTAGAAAATATGAAATAGCACTCCAAACAGTACAGCCAGTCCAAACACTACTGAGGTGACGATTCCAAGCTTCGTCTCCCATGGGTGCCTCTTCATGTTCTTTAAGATTGGCACTCCGAGTAATAAACCTGCGAAATAACAATCATTCAATCAAGAAAGAGAATCAATCATTTAATGAATAAAATCTATGTAAAGTAAAGTAAATAAATAATTAAATAAGTAAAGTAAAGTAATAATTAAATAAGAAAATAAAAAAATAAAAAGTAAAGTAAATAAAATAAAATAAATAACAAAGTAAAGTAGAGTAGAGTAGAGTAGAGTAGAGTAGAGTAGAGTAGAGTAGAGTAGAGTAGAGTAGAGTAGAGTAGAGAAGAGAAGAGTAAAGTAAAGTAAAGTAAACCATGGTTACCTGCCCCGATACCTCCAAGATGGGCGCCAACAGCGATCGTCCAGGAATCCTTTGCCACCACATGTTGATAGATAGCACGGCCTACTTCATAGAATACTGAAATATCACGTATTTAAGAAATAACGTTTCCGACTCAAAAATTGTTTTATGATAATGTAAACCTATGTTTTAAACTAGGACATAATATGTGTGCTTACAGATGAGCTAAACTCATACGCGAATATTTCAGACATTGGCCCTGGGTCTAATCGGGGATCAGTCAAGCGGAACTCAATGACTTTAGTGTAATGTTATTTTTCACAATGGTTCCAGAAAGAACTACTCGTTGAGATCAGCACCCCGAGCTCTCTATGTAATCTGCATTGATTTGACTTTCTGGCAGATATTTTTGGTATTATATTTATGGCATGAACCCCTAATTACAGTGGAATTCATCCTGTGAAGATGGAAATTACGATGCATAATACCTCATTGCGTACATATCATATTTCCTTCCGATTATACTTGTTGACGAACACCCATCTCAAATATCACTAATTTACAATATTAATTCAGCATGTCAAAGTTTATTAGAATAGTTAAGTGTCTGCCTTGAAGCCGAATAAATTCTCATCTACAGAGTTACGTCCCTTGTACCGTGCGAGGTTCGTCAAAGCTCGCCCAAGCGGTAGAGTGTTCTCACTTCACGGCATATGTTGATTTCCAAAAACAATACTCTCAGTAACCAGTTATCATTTACGAAAACAATACTTGATCAAAGTATAACGAAGTAGAATCATTCATCGACGTTTTCTGTTCGGCCGTTTTGTTATGAAGGGATATAGTGTTATCCAGATTTTGCGTTATTGGAATAGCTCTAAAAAGAATATTAGGAAATGTTTTACGTATAATATTAAGAATAATGTAACACAATTTCCGTCATAGGATCAACTTGACAATAAAATAGAATTTGTGTCTAACCTTTATGAAACTTTGAGACTTGTTTAACCAACACGGTCCACAGCAAAGTAACACAAATTCAAAGTAAACGGAAATTTGTAAAATTGAAAAAAGAGACAAGCCTCCCTAAGCAGCTCTACTTTTTTGTCGACTGTGAACAAAGACCATTTTTTCGACGTACCTAGGGGTAGGATGACGGCCAGACGTAATGGACCCGTCGGCACTTTTAGTTCTTTATCAAGGCACTCGCAGTTACATCTCATTCGCATCTCTTTCCAGTTCTGAAACAAGACAAAAAGTGAGCGGGTCGCAATATTTCTAAGAAAATCCGCTTATCGAAATCAATCGTTGCACTACCCTTCCCTATTGGTAAAGAGTCCATGAAGTATTTTGTTTAAGTTACAGGTCGCACAAATGTTAAAACAAGAAAAAGGTTTTCCAAGTTCAAAACATGATGCAAATCATATTTTTTTTCAGAAAATACACATGTCAAAATTAAACGGTGCACTGTACCTCTTCTAATTAGTATGGAAACTATTCCCTAAATTTGATAAGAATCCATGACGTAGCTTTCTAGTTATAGGTCGCACAAATGTTTCAGTTAAACAATTCTAAGTGAAAGATATTTTCATAAAATCAAAATATGGAATACAAACATCGCACTGCACCTCTCCTAGTGGCTTAGAAACTGTAGCCCCAATCGGTAAAGAATCCACGCGGTAGCTTTCACGTTATAGGTTGTACAAATTTCAAGTAAAATAAATCTAAGTAATAAAATGAGGAAAAGCTGTATTCTTTCAGGAAATCCAAATATTGAAATCAAACTTCGCACTGCACCTCTTCTGTAGGTATTTCATAGGAACTAACATACCAGTGACAGAACACATGCGCAAGGATCCATATGGACACGGTGACATGCAAGGAGACTGTCAAAGGGCCTGCCCGTCCGTTCCTCTGGTCTTGTGACAAGCAGTGGGTAGTGGGGGTGTATGCTGCCCTCACGTGTATGAGTGTAAAGGGGGCTGACTTTATGCGGAAGATTAAACATACTGTCGCTGGGTACACAAATGACTCCCAGATAAGTGAACGGCCCAGTCCTCCTATTTCATGAACCAGTGACAATGTCTAATTGACTTATCTGACCGTTAAAAAAGTCACCAAACACGTTATGTAGAGAGAGAGAGAGAGAAAGAGAGAGAGAGAGAGAGAGAGAGAGAGAGAGAGAGGGGGGGGGGGGGGGGGGGGGGGGAGACTATGTATATTTATGTATTAAAACCGTGGGTCAATTTGTCTGACTTAATTCAGAAGAAGGTCAAATTGTCGGGAAAGAGAATAACCTTCATCTTTTCAACAGCCAGATGAGCAAGTCACATGTTGTGTTCTATCTGACTCATTCTGGTAACATCTTGCCGAGGCAAGGGAGTTAACTGACTCTAATAGTCCAGTTTCCACCCTTGCCGAACGAGGCTGGTATTACGAGTGGCTATTACGAGTTATGTCCCTTCTATGTTCCTCCTATTGACCAATCAGATTCCAGCTCTCATCTCACTGATCGATGGTCAAGATTTATATCATAATAAACGTGTTTTACCTAGTGACGTGCATCAAACCACGAACCTTATAACATGATAAGATTTGGAAAATATCTGTCGACGCCTAGTTGACGGTACACATGCTTTGCAAACCCTGCGGTCGACCAAAATCTGCACGTTGAAATCCATGTTGTTTACGGATGTCGATTTTGTTACGCGATGTTGATTGGACCCTGCATAGACTCGTTAGTCCAGCCAAAATGTGACTCCAAAATTCCAGCCTAGTTCGGCAAGGTTGGAAACTGGACTTTTACAGTCAGTTAACTCCCTTGCCTCAGGAAGATGCGTGATGACGACAGCGAGATAAGCTCTCACACGTGACCTTGGGTGTTCTATCTGACTCACCGTGATAACGACAGCGAGATGAGCGCCCACAAGGGAGAAGGCTCCAGCACTCGCCCCCACCAGGGCTATGTTATGCTCTACCACTGAATGAAGCAAGCACCCTGAAGATAAACAATCCCTGAGTCATGATAATGGCATGACAAGAAACCTCATACAATTTGTTCTCCTTTGATGTATGCACAAGATGAGGTCTCCACTAAGCAAACATCAATTTAATGCCCAAATCGTTTTCTTAAGTTGATGATGCGGTTTCCGTGTGTTTCTGTGTGTATGTCGTTTACGAATCATGTACAAAATATACTACCAGGTTTACATAGACTTCATACGGTATTCACATCGTCGCTACACACCTGCTAGGACGCCGCACAGGTAGACGATCATCAGTCGCCACCACTTGTGGACCATCTCCAGGGTGAGTCCGATACCCAGCTGGAAGACGAGGTTGTTCAGAATGTGCCACCACCTGCAGGACAGTGACCGAGTGAATGGTATTTTTATACTATTTTACGCCTTACAAGAGCAATAGTTGAGTTACATCATGGCGGTCTAAATAGTCAAATCGAGTGTTGTGCAGAGTTGCGCCCCTTGGCGTACCAGAAGCCAAGCTCCTTCCCTTCGTTACATAATCGGTAACATAGTATATCGCTGTGAGGAGCTTGACCATCAGATTATGATCGCTGTACAGAGTTGCGCCCCATGGCGTACCAGGAGCTTATGATCGTGGGTGCGAATCTCACATTCGCTCTAATTATGTATATAAATCTGACAGCACCATACCCGTGCTCATGTATTTAACCAAGTGGTCGTCTAAGATCTGCATCACTTCGAGCTCTCATCGCGCATCAACTTCACACGCCGGGTTGTAACTAGAATGCTGTTAAGATGTCGTTGAACCCAACTCACTCACTCACTCACTCTGATGCTAGCAAACCTGCAGTTTGCCAACAACGCTGACATGCAGGATAATATACCCTTAGTTTACATACCCGTTGTGTACAAACATGTACGTGATGAATCTCCACGCCTCGTATCGTTTCGTTGGTTGGTATATGAGGGGGCTGTAGTGCGGGTACCCACTCTCGAAGGTGACGGGAGTGCCTTTCCCGGCGAGTTCCGCGGCATAAACAGCGAATATTATTATCTATGGAGAAGGGAATATGCAATATTCATACGTGGATTAAAAACAATTACGCGTTAAAATAACAACGTGTTGTTACAAGGCGGCAACTGCAGCGTCCGTACAGGCCGGTCAGTCGACTTGGACACTGGTCACTACTGGTCAGTCAGTGACGGATATTCATGTAAAGGGCTTCATTAAACAATATGAGTGAGTATGGTTTTATGCCGCTTTTAGCAATATTCCAGCAATATGACGGCATGGGACACCATAAATGGGCTTCACACATTGTACCCATGTGGGGAATCGAACCCGAGTCTTCAGCGTGACGAGCGAACGCTTTAACCACTAGGCTACCGCACCGCCCCATGATCAATAGGATTTAACATGAGAGAGTTGACAGAACTGTGCACGATGACCACATGTAATATAGTGTTCACGTTTTCGTGTTTTTAGAATGGTTGATGTACGTTTGTACTATCATTGACGTCATACTAATGACTTGAGGTAATGTGTAATTAAATACAAAAATCTCTATCCACGAACAAACATATCGAGGGAGTGAATAATGTTTTATGCAGCAGCCAGCAACGTTTTATCAGTATTCACGTTATATTACGCCCACCTGTCAGTACACGAATTTGGACCAATGATATCAGTTGTTGATAGCAAGAGCAACGATCAGCAATGTCATACACATATTTAATCCACCCGATCCTCAACTTTGTCCGCTTTTATAGGGACTGGCAATTTGTGCTTCCAAAGAAAAGTGCGAAAAAGATATTACATATATCTTGAAAAATCGTAAAAATGTATTGTACCTGAAACCTAAATCCTTGTCCCCCAATATCAACTTGTCGGCCCCTTATGACAAGCATGGAGTTGGGGGTCATTATCCTGCCGCCATATTGATTTAGTTTGTTGTTTAACGCCGCACTCAGCAATATTCCAGCTATATGACGACGGTCTGTGAATAATCGAGTCTGGACCAGATAATACGGTTATTGATATCATGAACATCGATCCACGCAATTAGGATCCGATGACATGCATGGACCAAGTCAGCGAGCCTGACCACCCGATCCCGTAAGTCGCCTCTTACGACAAGCATAGTCGCCTTTTACGGCAAGCATGGGTTGCTGAAGATCTATTCTACCCCGGATCTTCACGGGTCCCGCTCTATTGAAGAGTGCCTATGGGTGTGTCATGTTGAATGGAAGTGGAAGGCGGGTGAACTAGGAAAGCTCACCTGGGCGAGACTAATGAATGGCATGAAGACGGTGGGGGGCCAGCAGTTGCACTTGACCAGGTAGTCGCTCTTCTTCACCCCAAGTCCCACAAACGTGATGCACGGCTGCAGCATGCATCTCTTGCACTTGTGCATGTCCTCATCCGGGGCCTGAAGATGTATACAAGACCAATACGATTACCATGCGAGTGAGTGGGGGACTACTTCCACTACCACTACCACTACTACCACTACCACCACTACTACTACCACTACTACTACTACCACCATTTTTTTTAACGCGATGCATCATCACGGTAGCAAACTATTTGTTCGTCAAATTACATTTACACAATTCTATTTTTAAAAATTCCCAAAATATTTAGATATTCAAACGAATGATTTGTAAATTTGTAAAAGAAAACTCTCTCTCTAACATACGGTATACTAAACACTTACAGAAATTGTTAATGTAAAAATAAAGGAATAAATGTAATGGGTTTTAAACAACCTGAATGGGTGCCGTACATATATTCTGACTTCTTTTAGCTGTAAGGGACTATATTAAGGGACAATTTCTTCATTTAAATATACCATGCAGCTATCATTATACTTTTTAAATATATTTTTTTGGTATTTTATATCCAGCATATATATTTGTATTCAACTACACGTCTTTACTTGAGTATATGATCGAGACTTGACCATGCATACCAGTATTTGATATTGCAAGCCACGATCCAAGCCGTACGATGGCACGCAATCAACCTTTTCACCGAACCTGATCGACCCGTGAAGATACGGGGTAGAACAGGTCTTCAGCAACCCATGCTTGTCGTAAGAGGCGACCAACGGGATCGGGTGGTCAGGCTCGCTGACTTGGTTGATGCATGTCATCGTATACCAATTGTGTGGATCGATGCTTATGATATCAATCACTGGATTGTCTGGTCCAGACACACACACCGAACCTGACCACCCCACCCATCACGGCAAGCAAATGCTACTTGGGAATTCCCACAAGTTTGAGTATTAAAACGGTCTTACGATATTGTTTGTATGTATTCAGAAATTCCTTCATAAAGCTATTGTCATGAACACGTGGGAATACTATTTGTTATGGTTGTCCATTAAAGGACAAATTTAGTCATGCCATCTGAGATTGTATGAGTATTATTGCTTTCCAAATATATTTTTGTTCAAAATGATACAATTTATATTTATACCAGAGATTTCTATACTTTACAATAGGAATACGCAAACGCTGCTATAACGTCCATATGTTACTGTAAGACGCGGGTAGTATAAGAGTTATCCTTCTTGTTTGAAGTAGTTTTCGAGTTCATGTGCCAATATGTTAACCTTTGCGAGCGGCACGTCTTGTCCCGGAATGACCCGAGTTGGTCACGATTTAGTCAAGAATGTCGTGGCCAGACGAAAACCTATGGAACACGTTCCCAAGTCGTGAAAGAGTGCGACTGAAAGTGAGTGGAAATTACTGAGTGAGTGAGTTGGGTTTAACGCCGTTTTTAACAATATTCCAGTTATTTCACGGCGTGTCAGCTTAATGTGGGAGGAAAGCCCAAAGTGATGCAGGTCTTAGACATTTACCACTTCGGTGAAACCCACGAGCACAGGCATGGTGCTGACAAACCTTGAAACATAATCGGGGCGACCCGGGATTCGAACCCACAATCATAGGTTTCTGGCATGCCCAAGGGCGAATCGCGGAGCCTTATAGACGGCTAGGCCACATGTGCCCAAGTTAAATTACTGAGAAAATAAAGAAATATATAATATGTAAAGGAATGTGTTACGTACACCATTATTCTTTAGAATTCTGCTTACAAACTAAGATTGTTCTTGCGTCCTGCTGAGACCTGAATACCCTCTATATACCCCCGAATTCCGCGTACTAAAATGTGGTTGGCAGTCCCACTGTCTCCCCTTATTATTGTGGTAAACGTCCTGACAAATGTCATGTATTTCTGGGTTCGAATACAACTAAACCTAAATCTCGAGAAGTTTAGGAAATATTCGACAAAATATTTTGCAAGTATTTTCTATTCAATTACCCATTAGACCATATTTCAATTATCTATAAGTCGCAACGACTATTACAAATAGACAAAGAAAAGGTTATTGAGACTGTTATATCAACACAGACACGTTTGGAAGAGACGTTTTAATGCATTATTCGTCCACGAGTTGACATGAGTAGTATAGGACGGGTCCGCAGAAGGTAGTTTTGGTTGATCCGGTTGATCCAGGCGGATGCGAAGGTGATTGGTTGATCCAAGTCACGTGATCGGATAGGATGACTCATGCATCAACAGCGCGTCACAGGTGAGGGGGAATGAAAGGTGTGTGTTTATAAGGCAGAAAAGAATTCATAAGAAAACAAAAGTAAAGGGTATTGAATAGAGCTAAGTGTATGGCGTGCTGTCCTAAATAGACAGACCGTACCCGTCAGCCCAGTTTGAATTGAGCGCGCTTGACAACTCACGTGACCACATATTTGTATAGAAGGCGTTCAGCCCTGTCCCGACTTGCATAGTTGATGTTTCAACGCTAGCGTTTCCATTTAACGCGATGACAAATAAGCCCTACGGTTTGAGTTTTAACCGTGTAACATGATGTGCACAGTTTTACTTCAGAACGTGCTATTTTGAAAATAGATAGAAAACTGATAAGTACATGTACCAGTGTGACGGCACGAAGCTAGGTTTGTTGGGAAAGTGATGGAAGCAATCTATAGGACATTTTCATGTTTACAATACTCACCCTTAATTCGAAGAGAGAACAGAGTTTATCATGGAAAATTGTTTGACGAGGAAAATGTCTTATTGGAAATATAGGTTTATTCATAGCTAATGTATAGCAGAGAGACTAAGCGACCGACCGCCCATAACAATGTCAACATACCCCGGCCTTACAATTAATGTTAACATAACAGCCTCGCCTGAAGCTTCCCATTCATAAATGGTGTGACCAGTGTCCCGTATTTATGATATGTTAGGGAACATGTGTTGTACATTTGTTATTTTAAAAGGGAGTTATTTTAGAGAGGATATATATGGGTATTCCCCCTCATTAAACCTTTCTTTCGTTGGTGTCTATTAAACGTATCCGGTATTTAATACATTTGAATGATGTAGGAAAGTATGTGCGTGTAGATGTTGTACCTATATCCGAACACGAATGTATGACACCTTTCAAATAGATCAATTACGGTTCTAACCACGACACGCAACATGACTATGTGCGTGGTTAGCAGTTCATATTTATAAACACATCGTAAATGACAGATTTCTGATGAATGAACTCGCCCGCACACATGTCTATAGGGTTATGTTCGCCCGAACTGTAAACAGTGACACATTTTATAACAGGAAGGGTGTGTGGAATGCACTCGTCCTTGTAAGGGTAAAATACGCGTTTAAACTCACCATTTAAATGATGATGACATTACTTTTTTAGATGTATTGGTATCAGTGAGTGAGTGAATTTAGTTTTACGCCACACTCGGCATTATTCAAGCTCTAGGACGGTGGTCTGTCAATAAACGAGCTTGGACCAGACAATCCAGTGATCAACAGCATGAGCAGCGATCTGTGCAACTAGGAACCGACGGCACGTGCCATCCGAGTCGGACCAACCGATCCCCGTCAGTCGCCGATAAGCATGGGTTACTGAAGGTCGATTTTTATAACCCGGGACCTTCACGGGTGTAGTATGACGAAGACTATATACTCATATGCAAAAAACTGAGAGAAAACAAACAATTCATTCGTATCATTTATTGATTCGAGTCAATCGGTTCCATACAAAGCCGTGATATACGAATGGACAATAGTATTCACTCTGGAACATTATTTAGTCACTCATATACACATGCTGCTGCTGCTGCTCGAAGGCCCTATTGTTTAAACAGCGAGTCAATGTTTTGAAACACATTTCGCACTGTTGAATGTTTCCTTTTCTACGCTGTTTTAAGGTTGAATGGTTGTCTATAGTCTATGCTTTATCCATTGCTTGTAACGATTTCCGTCCAGGAGGTCCCAGTTTCACCATTCCTCTCACGTAGAGGGAAATTCGGCGTTTCTTATCATTCAAACGCCTCAGTTTACGAGGTGTTTTCAAAATATGAATCAAACTAGGCGCGTGGCGTTGACTCGGCATTCTCTTCTGACTGTTAGACTGATATAGTAGTGATGGGTATTTATGCCTAATCGTTCTGCTCACGATCATCATCATCCTCCTCGTCATCACCGTCGTTATCCTCTGAAACGCTATCAGATTCAGTCTCACTTTCTATTTCCGGCATATCCATCAAAGGCAGGATCTCTTTCATCTTGGGTTTTAGGAGGAGTTTGATTTTATTTTTGAGAACGGATTGTTCCGTGGAAGGATTCATGTCTCCCAGGTTGTATAGCATGTTTTGAAACAGAGGTGCCTCTTTAAAGTACGTGGTATATTCCATCGCATAGTTGAGAGTACTACGCACTAGATCCTCCCACCTCAGTTTCAATCTTCTCTCAATCCATTCTTGCGTTCGTCCCTGTCGCTCGTACTGTTTTTTCTGCAGTTTCATCTTGTCATGAAACGTATCGTACACCTGCTTCCAGATGCGTTGTAAGCCTACATTTTGCCACTCCTCGGCTTCCATATTAGTGAATGTTGACTTCCCACGTGGAGATTTGACGGCAAGACCACTGCCTTTCTGGGAAGAGGCTAGGTCGTCAAAGTCACTGTCATCGTCATCACTCTCGAGTCTGGCACGCTTTCTCTTAGGTTGAAGGCTATTGGCCGGACACCAGTGTTTGATATGTCGCTGTAGATCGTGCATGTTATCTATCAGCACCCCGCAATCTGCGCAAGCCGTGGCCATAGTCAACGATGTCTCACTACTCGTGTCTGAATCGGTTTCAATTGGAGTGAGCTGATGTTGGGGCAATCTCTCTTCTTGTGTCAGAGAACTATCCAGAGATTCTGTTGTAGTCAACTTCTCCCTACGCAGATCAGGTTCAGACTGTGCTGTTGTTCTCCTGTTTTCCTCATTTATGAGGTTAACATGCAGTCGATCCTTATCTTTGGTGGTAGGTTTTAGATCAATGGTGAGTTGTCCATAGGGTGTTTCAGCAACCTTTTCATACATAGCCATAAAGTGA